AATTAGTGAAACGAAAAAGCCTGTCGAATTTCAACAATTTCTGTAGATTACTTCCAATGTTATGGCCCTGATTTTAGTTTTTAGAACCTTGTGAACCCTCAAACGACGAAAATTATAATGTCATCTGTATGAAATTGTCTCTTAAATTCCCCTAATTACCTACAAAAGAATAAATATGTGACAACTCTTGTCGACCGATAGGACCGATTTAGCTGCTGTGGGCGTATGTTTTGTTGCCTGGCAACCTATCTTTCTTTTAATCATATTTAAGTACATATCGTAAGTATCGATTCTGTATTTACTTTAGCTGTAGAGACACATGATTTCCCCAATTATTATTATTCATATTACAACACTTTGGAAGCCGCGGTGGCTCAGTGTCTCGCTAAACGGGAGGTCTCGGGTTCACTCTCGCTATTGGCCGAGAAAGTTCCTCGGGTTTTTCCCTTGTCAGTGCTGTAGGACGGAGGGCCTAATGAGGAACAATGTCTCGTCGTTTAACGAGCACGTAAAAGAACCCCTGACAGTTGGAATTCGAAATAAGAGTAGGCCGTAGTGTCGCGGTCGGGGCAAAATTTCCCTCACAGCACACTGTAGGGCGTATGCCCGTCTTCATTAGACCATTTATGGTATTGTGCTTAATACTGTGAAATTTCGTGGTTTTTCAAAGAAAATTGAGGGTGGTGTGCATGTCACTAAATCGGTGTTATTCTTTTTGTTGACATCATGGAAATACGCAAAGGAATGACCCCTTTATCTGCATTGCACAAGATCAGTTAGGAAAAAAATACTTTAAGTTTTAAAATGAGATTCAACGTATTTATAAGACTTAAAGCCCTTTAAATTTATTTCAATTTTTAGTCCAACAGACATGTATAAGTAGCTGTGTTGGTATGGGAGACGGTAGATATCCGGACTGTAGTGACTGTAGTAAATATATCAGCTGCAGTAATTCAATAGACCAACAGGTGACTTGTCCCACTGGAACTCTATTTAGTATTTCTACTTATAATTGTGATTCATCCGGAGTCGTTTGTGGGTAAGACATCTTTTTCCGTATCAAAATTAGGCAAAACAACACTTCTTCCGTGGTTAATGTGAGAAATGGAAATGGAGATTCAATGTCCACACAGCACAACCCTTTAGGGTCTAGCATAATATGGAACATTTTATTTCAAAAGCAGCCGGAATCCCCGGAAAAACCACAAGGGTAGGCATCGTACAGGTCAGGGTTTGAAACCATGCCACCTGATTCAATGACAGATACCAATAGATTCTATAATCTGAAGCGTACGCATTAGACATACATTGCACATTACCCGGTCTTCATACTCCTCACAGTGTTTCGTTTGATTAGACATAGGGGATTTCTCGGGCCATTGCTTCATGAATATGCCCGGCCTTAAGCCTATGTCACTCCTTTTAAATAAAAAAGAAGAATTACGGTGAAAAATAGAAGGTAAGGACTCCAAAATAGCCGTTGAACACTGGTGGGGTAGCGCGTGTAAGAGACCATTCCGAAAAGAGCTATAGTAAGCTCGCTTTCTCCGTACATGAATAGCATCAAAACGGTAGCCTAACTTGTTACAGATGACTTTGTGAGTAAGGCCCCGGGTCACTAATCAAGTGGTCCCATGATCGATCCCGGTGTTGGCTATAGTTACTCGGTACTCGAGATTTTCAAGCCAATTGATGCAGAGCAGTGAGACGTTTAACACGATTTCTTCATTTGTTACAGATCTAGCTCTCTTCCCAAAAGTGGAGGACCGGGGGCCTGGCAAGGGACAACGTATAGTCGTTCGGATGACACGAAAAATCGAGGGCCCGTGTCGCCCCGTGTACACATTGTCGTGCACATAAAAGGTCGCTTGGCAGTTGGAATTCGATATAAGAGTAGGCCGTAGTGCTGCTAATTTCCGGGCAAAATTTCCCTCATAGCACACAGTATGGCGGATGACCGTCTTCTTAAGCCCAGTCGGAGCAGAACAATATGACGTTAAACTCTACTTCATTTCTCTTCCCAAGATGTCAAATAAAAAATTAAAGAGGCATTAAAAAGTAATCATTTATCATTTAAACAATTTTATCTTAGAAGAACACAGAACAGGTGAACTGCTTAAGTAGTACAGCAGATTGTGATGGGAGATTAGGTGATATTCCACACTGTGATGACTGCAAAAAATATGTAAGGTGTTTCATTAGTGGTGGTACTGAATTAACGTGTCCAGGAAGTTTTCTGTTTAACTCGGTAACAACTGCACGTAGCCTTCCACAAACAATAGAAAATAACAAGATATCTTTTCTTTTCGCAGTGTCACATCACCTACTAGTATGACGTCGTCTACAAACATTACGTCACCAACAAGTGTCACATCGCCAAGGATAAAAACGCCATGTATTGACGTGACAGAATGCCTTAATGGTTTAGGCGATTTTCCACACTGTACAAATTGTCGAAGATATATTCGTTGTTTATATGCTGGGTTGGGAGAAGACAAAATTTGTCCAAGTAATTTATATTTTGATGCTGTTACGTTAACATGCACCCAGTCATCTCAAGCCAGATGTAGGTAGGTACTTTGTTTTAATTGCTTGCAGTGTTCTGATGTTAGAATAATATCATTGCAAATATTTAGTTAGTCTAAAGGAGTTAACTGTTTTTTGAATGATGTTACTTGACATTTTTATTCACCCAAATTTTCATGCGAATGTATATTGTCGTCGCCCCTGTCCGTTCGTCCGTTCACATTTGTTTGTGGACTCTCTACAGGTCACAATTTTTATCTGATTTTGACGAAACTTCTGATATATGTTTATATCCAAAAGATCTCGGTTCTAGAGCAGAAGCCCAGGGGGTTAACCTAGCTGAAAAGTGTACCAATTTTCTCCTATATGGTATCAATGTATGTATATCTGGTATCATCAGAATGTTAGTCTGCCGGGTTTCTGGTGATGGGTGTGGTATTCCACGCCCAAAATGCCATGATCCCCAACTAGGCTAGATTAGCTCAAAAGTGTACCACATGAAAATCGCACAGCAATGTACCGTACATCTTCAGGTATTACAAAAACACTCTGACAGACATTTCTAGTTATGGGGTACCCCTGACAGAGCTATTTAATTGCCAGACATTTGTAGTAATGGAGTATCCCTGACAAGAGTTATCTAATTTCCAGACCAAAGCTAATCTAGCCTAGCTGGTACACTGCAGTAAGTCGTTGTATTAGCTTGTTCACTATCCTTCTCTTGCAAAATGTGGGCGCATCTTGCATGACAACCGCTTGTTATTTTTACTTACGATTTTATGCAAAATAATCTAATTCTGTTCAGGGCGTAATTTAGGCGATCACTTATGAAAGACTCAAGTTTATTTAGTAGAAATCTGCTTCATTAACTGTGTTTCTGTCGATTAAACTTTTAGTGCTTCTACATCACCTGCCAGTGTTACATCGCCTACCAGTGTCACATCACCTACCAGTGTCACATCGCCAAATAGTGTCACATCTGCTACCAGTGTTACGTCACCAAACAGTGCAACATCAGCCACCAGTGCGACTTCACTTACAAGTGTGACTTCAATTACTAGTATGACATCACTCACCAGCGATACGTCACCAACCAGTGCGACTTCACCTACAAGTGTTACATCCCCTACTAGTGTTACATCGCCTACCAGTAACACGTCACCAACCAGTGCAACATCAGGTACTAGTGTAACATCACCTACCAGTGTAACGTCAGCTACCAGTGAGACGTCACCTACAAGTGTGACGTCACCAAGAATGGAAACGCCATGTATTGACGTGACAGAATGCCTTAATGGTTTAGGTGATTTTCCACACTGTACAAATTGTCGAAGATATATTCGTTGTTTAAATGCTGGGTTGGGAGAAGACAAAATTTGTCCAAGTAATTTATATTTTGATGCTGTTACGTTAACATGCACCCAATTATCTCAAGCCAGATGCAGGTAGGTACTTTGTTTTAATTGCTGGCAGTGTTCTGATGTTCGAATAATATCATTAAAAATATTTAGTCAGTCTTATGTGATATTCGGAAGCGATATTATTTAATGGGTTAACTCGTTTCCTATGGGCATATATTTTGATTGGTGTTACTTACCATTATTTATACTTTATGCTTACGATTTTATGCAAGTTAATCTAATTACGGTCAGCTGGCGCGGATCCGCGGGGGGGGGGGGGTCGCAACCGGCGCACGCCCCCCTCCCCCATTTTTTGCGGTGGTGAACAATTTTTTGCCCCATATATTCTCGCGGGAAAGGAGAACAAAATACTTAAAAATAGTAGTGATCCCCGTTGTAATTTACTCCGAAACAGGCCGGTTGGTGACTTGGTTGATTGCCGATGAGTCCGCCCACCGAGGGCCGGGCTTCGCACTCCGAAGTAGGGGCAGCCCCCCCCCCTCCTTTCTGAAAATTCTGGATCCGCCCCTGGCCAGGTCTTTTTTTAGGCGATTATTTCTTAAAGATTAACATTTTTTTAGTATCAATTTTCGTAGCTAATGAACCCATTTGACCTTTGACCCCGCATATCTCGAAAACGCCCCAACGGCGGACTGATTACCACTCGGCATCGTATTCTACGCAACATTTTACTCTAGAAATGTTGGGTCTGGTTTTGTGCCCCGCGCTGAGCCTCCAGACTATGTAGAATCTGGCACGGGTTGCCCCGTTAACTTTGTTTCTGTCCATTAAACTTTTAGTGCTTCTACATCACCTACGAGTGTTACATCGCCTACCAGTGTCACATCACCTACCAGTGTCACATCGCCAAATAGTGTCACATCAGCTACCAGTGTTACGTCACCAACCAGTGCAACATCAGCTACCAGTGCGACTTCACTTACAAGTGTGACTTCAATTACTAGTATGACATCACTCACCAGCGATACGTCACCAACCAGTGTAACGTCAGCTACCAGTGCAACATCAGCTACCAGTGCTACTTCACTTACAAGTGTGACTTCACTTACTAGTATGACATCACCCACCAGTGATTCTTCACCAACCAGTGCGACTTCACCTACAAGTGTTCCATCCCCTACTAGTGTAACATCGCCTACTAGTAACACGTCACCAACCAGTGCAACATCAGGTACTAGTGTAACATCACCTACCAGTGTAACGTCACCTACAAGTGTGACGTCACCAAGAATGGAAACGCCATGTATTGACGTGACAGAATGCCTTAATGGTTTAGGCGATTTTCCACACTGTACAAATTGTCGAAGATATATTCGTTGTTTAAATGCTGGGTTGGGAGAAGACAAAATTTGTCCAAGTAATTTATATTTTGATGCTGTTACGTTAACATGCACCCAATTATCTCAAGCCAGATGCAGGTAGGTACTTTGTTTTAATTGCTGGCAGTGTTCTGATGTTCGAATAATATCATTAAAAATATTTAGTTAGTCTTATGTGATATTCGGAAGCGATATTATTTAATAGGTTAACTCGTTTCCTATGGGCATATATTTTGATTGGTGTTACTTACCATTATTTATACTTTATACTTACGATTTTATGCAAGTTAATCTAATTACGGCAGCTGGCGCGGATCCGCGGGGGGGGGGGGGGCGGTCGCAACCGGCGCACGCCCCCCTCCCCCATTTTTTGCGGTGGCGAACAATTTTTTGCCCCATATATTCTCGCGGGAAAGGAGAACAAAATACTTAAAAATAGTAGTGATCCCCGTTGTAATTTACTCCGAAACAGGCCGGTTGGTGACTTGGTTGATTGCCGATGAGTCCACCCACCGAAGGCCGGGCTTATTTAAACTTTATACTTACGATTTTATGCAAGTTAATCTAATTACGGCCAGCTGGCGCGGATCCGCGGGGGGGGGGGGTCGCAACCGGCGCACGCCCCCCTCCCCCATTTTTTGCGGTGGCGAACAATTTTTTGCCCCATGTATTCTCGCGGGAAAGGAGAACAAAATACTTAAAAATAGTAGTGATCCCCGTTGTAATTTACTCCGAAACAGGCCGGTTGGTGACTTGGTTGATTGCCGATGAGTCCGCCCACCGAGGGCCGGGCTTCGCACTCCCAAGTAGGGGCAGCCCCCCCCCTCCTTTCTGAAAATCCTGGATCCGCCCCTGGTCAGGTCTTTTTTTAGGCGATTATTTCTTAAAGACTAACATTTTTTTAGCATCAATTTTCGTAGCTAATGAACCCATTTGACCTTTGACCCCGCATATCTCGAAAACGCCCCAACGGCGGACTGATTACCACTCGGCAACGTATTCTACGCAACATTTTACTCTAGAAATGTTGGGTCTGGTTTTGTGCCCCGCGCTGAGCCTCCAGACTATGTAGAATCTGGCACGGGTTGCTCCGTTAACTTTGTTTCTGTCCATTAAACTTTTAGTGCTTCTACATCACCTACGAGTGTTACATCGCCTACCAGTGTCACATCACCTACCAGTGTCACATCGCCAAATAGTGTCACATCGGCTACCAGTGTTACGTCACCAACCAGTGCAACATCAGCTACCAGTGCGACTTCACTTACAAGTGTGACTTCAATTACTAGTATGACATCACTCACCAGCGATACGTCACCAACCAGTGTTACATCCCCAGCTAGTGTAACATCGCCTACCAGTAACACGTCACCAACCAGTGCAACATCAGGTACTAGTGTAACATCACCTACCAGTGTAACGTCACCAACCAGTGTAACGTCACCAACCAGTGTAACGTCAGCTACCAGTGCAACATCAGCTACCAGTGCTACTTCACTTACAAGTGTGACTTCACTTACTAGTATGACATCACCCACCAGTGATTCTTCACCAACCAGTGCGACTTCACCTACAAGTGTTACATCCCCTACTAGTGTAACATCGCCTACTAGTAACACGTCACCAACCAGTGCAACATCAGGTACTAGTGTAACATCACCTACCAGTGTAACGTCACCTACAAGTGTGACGTCACCAAGAATGGAAACGCCATGTATTGACGTGACAGAATGCCTTAATGGTTTAGGCGATTTTCCACACTGTACAAATTGTCGAAGATATATTCGTTGTTTAAATGCTGGGTTGGGAGAAGACAAAATTTGTCCAAGTAATTTATATTTTGATGCTGTTACGTTAACATGCACCCAATTATCTCAAGCCAGATGCAGGTAGGTACTTTGTTTTAATTGCTGGCAGTGTTCTGATGTTCGAATAATATCATTAAAAATATTTAGTTAGTCTTATGTGATATTCGGAAGCGATATTATTTAATGGGTTAACTCGTTTCCTATGGGCATATATTTTGATTGGTGTTACTTACCATTATTTATACTTTATACTTACGATTTTATGCAAGTTAATCTAATTACGGCAGCTGGCGCGGATCCGCGGGGGGGGGGGGCGGTCGCAACCGGCGCACGCCCCCCTCCCCCATTTTTTGCGGTGGCGAACAATTTTTTGCCCCATATATTCTCGCGGGAAAGGAGAACAAAATACTTAAAAATAGTAGTGATCCCCGTTGTAATTTACTCCGAAACAGGCCGGTTGGTGACTTGGTTGATTGCCGATGAGTCCACCCACCGAGGGCCGGGCTTATTTAAACTTTATACTTACGATTTTATGCAAGTTAATCTAATTACGGCCAGCTGGCGCGGATCCGCGGGGGGGGGGGTCGCAACCGGCGCACGCCCCCCTCCCCCATTTTTTGCGGTGGCGAACAATTTTTTGCCCCATGTATTCTCGCGGGAAAGGAGAACAAAATACTTAAAAATAGTAGTGATCCCCGTTGTAATTTACTCCGAAACAGGCCGGTTGGTGACTTGGTTGATTGCCGATGAGTCCGCCCACCGAGGGCCGGGCTTCGCACTCCCAAGTAGGGGCAGCCCCCCCCCCCTCCTTTCTGAAAATCCTGGATCCGCCCCTGGCCAGGTCTTTTTTTAGGCGATTATTTCTTAAAGACTAACATTTTTTTAGCATCAATTTTCGTAGCTAATGAACCCATTTGACCTTTGACCCCGCATATCTCGAAAACGCCCCAACGGCGGACTGATTACCACTCGGCAACGTATTCTACGCAACATTTTACTCTAGAAATGTTGGGTCTGGTTTTGTGCCCCGCGCTGAGCCTCTTGACTATGTAGAATCTGGCACGGGTTGCTCCGTTAACTTTGTTTCTGTCCATTAAACTTTTAGTGCTTCTACATCACCTACGAGTGTTACATCGCCTACCAGTGTCACATCACCTACCAGTGTCACATCGCCAAATAGTGTCACATCGGCTACCAGTGTTACGTCACCAACCAGTGCAACATCAGCTACCGGTGCGACTTCACTTACAAGTGTGACTTCAATTACTAGTATGACATCACTCACCAGCGATACGTCACCAACCAGTGTTACATCCCCAGCTAGTGTAACATCGCCTACCAGTAACACGTCACCAACCAGTGCAACATCAGGTACTAGTGTAACATCACCTACCAGTGTAACGTCACCAACCAGTGTAACGTCACCAACCAGTGTAACGTCAGCTACCAGTGCAACATCAGCTACCAGTGCTACTTCACTTACAAGTGTGACTTCACTTACTAGTATGACATCACCCACCAGTGATTCTTCACCAACCAGTGCGACTTCACCTACAAGTGTTACATCCCCTACTAGTGTAACATCGCCTACTAGTAACACGTCACCAACCAGTGCAACATCAGGTACTAGTGTAACATCACCTACCAGTGTAACGTCACCTACAAGTGTGACGTCACCAAGAATGGAAACGCCATGTATTGACGTGACAGAATGCCTTAATGGTTTAGGCGATTTTCCACACTGTACAAATTGTCGAAGATATATTCGTTGTTTAAATGCTGGGTTGGGAGAAGACAAAATTTGTCCAAGTAATTTATATTTTGATGCTGTTACATTAACATGCACCCAATTATCTCAAGCCAGATGCAGGTAGGTACTTTGTTTTAATTGCTGGCAGTGTTCTGATGTTCGAATAATATCATTAAAAATATTTAGTTAGTCTTATGTGATATTCGGAAGCGATATTATTTAATGGGTTAACTCGTTTCCTATGGGCATATATTTTGATTGGTGTTACTTACCATTATTTATACTTTATACTTACGATTTTATGCAAGTTAATCTAATTACGGCAGCTGGCGCGGATCCGCGGGGGGGGGGGGCGGTCGCAACCGGCGCACGCCCCCCTCCCCCATTTTTTGCGGTGGCGAACAATTTTTTGCCCCATATATTCTCGCGGGAAAGGAGAACAAAATACTTAAAAATAGTAGTGATCCCCGTTGTAATTTACTCCGAAACAGGCCGGTTGGTGACTTGGTTGATTGCCGATGAGTCCACCCACCGAGGGCCGGGCTTATTTATACTTTATACTTACGATTTTATGCAAGTTAATCTAATTACGGCCAGCTGGCGCGGATCCGCCGGGGGGGGGGGGGCGCAACCGGCGCACGCCCCCCCCTCCCCCATTTTTTGCGGTGGCGAACAATTTTTTGCCCCATATATTCTCGCGGGAAAGGAGAACAAAATACTTAAAAATAGTAGTGATCCCCGTTGTAATTTACTCCGAAACAGGCCGGTTGGTGACTTGTTTGATTGCCGATGAGTCCGCCCACCGAGGGCCGGGCTTCGCACTCCCAAGTAGGGGCAGCCCCCCCCTCCTGGATCCGCCCCTGGCCAGGTCTTTTTTTAGGCGATTATTTCTTAAAGACTAACATTTTTTTAGTATCAATTTTCGTAGCTAATGAACCCATTTGACCTTTGACCCCGCATATCTCGAAAACGCCCCAACGGCGGACTGATTACCACTCGGCATCGTATTCTACGCAAAATTTTACTCTAGAAATGTTGGGTCTGGTTTTGTGCCCCGCGCTGAGCCTCCAGACTATGTAGAATCTGGCACGGGTTGCTCCGTTAACTTTGTTTCTGTCCATTAAACTTTTAGTGCTTCTACATCACCTACGAGTGTTACATCGCCTACCAGTGTCACATCACCTACCAGTGTCACATCGCCAAATAGTGTCACATCGGCTACCAGTGTTACGTCACCAACCAGTGCAACATCAGCTACCAGTGCGACTTCACTTACAAGTGTGACTTCAATTACTAGTATGACATCACTCGCCAGCGATACGTCACCAACCAGTGTTACATCCCCTACTAGTGTAACATCGCCTACCAGTAACACGTCACCAACCAGTGCAACATCAGGTACTAGTGTAACATCACCTACCAGTGTAACGTCACCAACCAGTGTAACGTCACCAACCAGTGTAACGTCAGCTACCAGTGCAACATCAGCTACCAGTGCGACTTCACTTACAAGTGTGACTTCAATTACTAGTATGACATCACTCACCAGCGATACGTCACCAACCAGTGTGACTTCACCTACAAGTGTTACATCCCCTACTAGTGTAACATCGCCTACCAGTAACACGTCACCAACCAGTGCAACATCAGGTACTAGTGTAACATCACCTACCAGTGTAACGTCAGCTACCAGTGCAACATCAGCTACCAGTGCTACTTCACTTACAAGTGTGACTTCACTTGCTAGTATGGCATCACCCACCAGTAACACGTCACCAACCAGTGCGACTTCACCTACAAGTGTTACATCCCCTACTAGTGTCACATCGCCTACCAGTAACACGTCACCAATCAGTGCAACATCAGGTACTAGTGTAACATCACCTACGAGTGTAAAGTCACCAACCAGTGTAACGTCAGCTACCAGTGCAACATCACCTACCAGTGCTACTTCACCCACAAGTGTTACTTCACGTACTAGTATGACATCACCCACCAGTGATACGTCACCAACCAGTGCGACTTCACCTACAAGTGTTACATCCCCCACCAGTGTCCCATCGCCAAATAGTGTCACCTCGGCTACCAGTGTTACGTCACCAAACAGTGCGACTTCACTTACTAGTATGACATCACCCACCAGTGATACGTCACCAACCAGTGCGACTTCACCCACAAGTGTTACATCCCCTACTAGTGTAACACCGCCTACCAGTAACACGTCACCAACCAGTGCAACATCAGGTACTAGTGTAACATCACCTACCAGTGTAACGTCACCAACCAGTGTAACGTCAGCTACCAGTGCAACATCAGCTACCAGTGCAACATCAGCTACCAGTGCTACTTCACTTACAAGTGTGACTTCACTTACAAGTGTGACTTCACTTACTAGTATGACATCACCCACCAGTGATTCTTCAGCAACCAGTGCGACTTCACCCACAAGTGTTACATCCCCTACTAGTGTAACATCGCCTACCAGTAACACCTCACCAACCAGTGCAACATCAGGTACTAGTGTAACATCACCTACCAGTGTAACGTCACCAACCAGTGTAACGTCAGCTACCAGTGCAACATCAGCTACCAGTGCTACTTCACTTACAAGTGTGACTTCACTTACTAGTATGACATCACCCACCAGTGATTCTTCAGCAACCAGTGCGACTTCACCTACAAGTGTTACATCCCGTACTAGTGTAACATCACCTACCAGTAACACGTCACCAACCAGTGCAACAGCAGGTACTAGTGTAACATCACCTACCAGTGTATCGTCAGCTACCAGTGTGACGTCACCAAAAAGTGTGACGTCACCAAGAACGGAAACGCCATGTATTGACGTGACAGAATGTCCTGATGCTCTGGGCGATTTTCCACATTGTACAAATTGTCGAAAATATATTCGTTGTTTAAATGCTTGGTTGGGCGAAGACAGAATGTGTCCAGATCTTTTATATTTTGATGCCGTTACGTTAACATGTACCATGCCATTTCAAGCCAGATGTAGGTAGGTATTTTTAAAAATATTTATTGTTTTTTAACCTACCATTTGTTACCATCCACAACAAATTACTGTAGGTATCAGAAGATGTCCTTTGTTTTATATCGAAATTGCTTCGACTTTTCATTGACTAAATATGTTGCTAAATATGTAAGTGTGTATTAGGTCAATGTTTTGATGGAATTCGAAGATGAGTATTTTCTGCTTAGGGTAAGCAGAGATAAGCAATTTGATTGGTTGATGCTTTGGGACACCATAACTTTAGTTCTAATTAAGTGAGAGTGATGAAACTTGTTGTATAGTTTTATCACATCAATACCTTGACTAAGTTCGATAATGAACATTTTCTGCTGAAGATAAGCAGAGTGATAAGAAATTTGATTGGCCGAGACTTTGAAACACAATAACTGTGCTTCTAATTGAGGTAGAATGTTCAAACTTGGTGTAGGCGTTCATTAGGCGAATGCCTTGATGGAATTCGATGATGAACATTGTCTGCTTACGGTAAGCAAAGATAAGCAATTTGATTGGTTGATGCTTTTGGGCACGATAACTGTGGTTATAATTAAGTGAGAGTTATGAAACTCTGAGTATAGATTCATTATATCATTACCTCGACGAATTTTGATGATAATTTTCTGCTTAGGCTAAGGAGCGATAAGCAATTTGGTTGGTCAAGACTCTCGAACATTACTCTGCTTTTAATTGAGGTACAATGAATTCAATGATTAACATTTCCCGCTAAAGATAAGCAGAGCTAAGCAATTTCTTTGACTTTCATTCTATCTGATAAAGAGTGATGAAACTTAGTTTATAGTTGATAATCTGTTTGATTGTTCGATACTTTTGAAAAAGATAAAAGTGCAATTAATTAATATGTGTCATCTATTTATTTCGGCGCTGTATAATAATCTCAATAAGACGAGGGAAATAATTACTATTAGTAAATCTCACCTAACTCAAAACGAGTGTCAGATTTTAGGTATTGTAATATATTAAATATTGCTTTAAGCCCGCCTATGTCGCCCTAATTATCCGATGCAATACGTTAGTCGCAAGTACATGCAACCTTTTGAAATGAAATGAAATGAAATGAAATGGGGTTTAACGTCCTACTGTTCTGCTCCTATACTGGGCTAATGTAGACGGGCAAACGCCATATGAGGGAAATTTGATCCGTACGAAATTGTAACGCTGTAGACTCATTCTTCACACAGGCAACTATCTACTTTGAGGATGGGGTCATGTTGAAGAATTAATGCACCGCTCTAAAGACTAAAACAAAGGTTTTAAATTGCATTATTGAAAATGGACGCAGAATTATAAACATCTCGAAATTCTTGAAGTATAATCAGTGGTTTCGACTAAAATCGTGGACGTAGGAATAAAAACGTCAGTGAACATGCGGGGTTTCGTATGCTAATCTCATAGCCTAAAGTTAGTAATATTTTAACGTTGATTTTGCTATTGGGCGATATTAGACATCAGCAATTTTTCTTTATACCAATAATGACGTAATGGAGATTTTTTCTTGGGAGGAGGGGGGGCTTAGCCACACGATAGCCACCCCGTGGCTATGGGCCTCATTTGGCGGTATTAGACGCCAGCCATTTTTATTTATACAAATAATGACGTTATGAAGACCTAAGGAAAAATGACAGAAAAAGTAGAACATGTACAATTAACTGCAACTGGATTTTTCTCACAGTCGCATGGGGTCGTAAGACTGTTTATGGTGCCCTTCAAATGCACCAAACCAATTCGCACACATTCGCATCAAAATTAAAAATCAAAAATCAAAATCTAAATTAACAGACATTATTTATCGTGCATGATCACATATTTTTTGACAATTTTAGTTTCCTTTGTATTTTTATTTTTCATTATTTTTTTGTTTTTGCAGTGTAACATCACCAACAAGCGTGACTTCACCAACTAGTGTTACATCTCCCACCAGTATGACATCAACCAGTATTACATCGCCAACTAGTATAACATCGCCATCAAGTGTTACATCCCCTGCGTCTGTTACTAGTGTTACTTCGCCCACCAGTGTTACATCGCAAACAAGTGTTACTTCACCAACAAGTGTTACATCACCAACATCTATTACAAGTGTTACATCACCTACCAGTGCTACATCTCCCACCAGTATAACATCGCCAACAAGTGTTACGTCACCTACCAGTGTGACATCACCTACCAGTAATACTTCGCCTACCAGTGCTACATCACCTACCAGTATAACATCACCAACAAGTGTTACGTCACCTACCAGTGTGACATCACCTACCAGTGTTACTTCGCCTACCAGTGTTACATCTCCCACCAGTTTAACATCGCCAACAAGTGTTACGTCCCCCACCAGTGTAACATCGCCAACAAGTGTTACATCCCCTACCTCTGTTACAAGCGGAACATCGCCTACTAGTGTTACTTCACCCACCAGTGTAACATCGCAAACAAGTGTTACCTCACCCACCAGTGTTACATCACCTACGTCACACACTAGTGTGACATCGCCTACCAGTGGTGCATCCCCTACATCTGTTACAAGTGGAACATCGCCTACTAGTGTTACTTCACCCACGAGTGTGACATCGCCTACCAGTGTGACCTCTCCAACCAGCGTGACATCACCTACCAGTGTCACATCTCCCACCAGTTTAACATCGCCAACAAGTGTTACGTCCCCCACAAGTATTACGTCACCTACCAGTGTGACATCACCTACCAGTGTTACTTCGCCTACCAGCGTTACATCTCTCACGTCTGTTACAAGTGGAACATCGCCTACCAGTTCCACTTCCCCCACCAGTGTAACATCACCAACAAGTGTTACAAGTGAAACATCACCTACTAGTGTTACTTCACCCACCAGTGTGACATCACCTACCAGTATAACATCACCAACAAGTGTTACATCACCTACGAGTGTGACATCACCTACAAGTGTGACATCGCCTACCAGTGGTACATCTCCTACGTCTGTTACAAGTGGAATATCGCCTACTAGTGTTACTTCACCCACAAGTGTGACATCACCTACCAGTGTGACATCACCTACCAGTGTTACTTCACCTACCAGTGATACATCTCCCACCAGTTTAACATCGCCAACAAGTGTAACGTCACCTACCAGTGTGACATCACCTACCAGTGTTACATCTCTCACGTCTGTTACAAGTGGAACATCGCCTACCAGTTCCACTTCCCGCACCAGTATAACATCGCCAACAAGTGTTACATCCCCTACCTCTGTTACAAGCGGAACATCACCTACTAGTGTTACTTCACCGACCAGTGTAACATCACAGACAAGTGTTAACTCACCCACCAGTGTTACATCACCTACGTCACCCACTAGTGTGACATCGGCTACCAGTGGTTCATCCCCTACGTCCTTTACAAGTGGAACATCGCCTACAAGTGTTACTTCACCCACGAGTATGACATCACCTACCAGTGTGACCTCTCCTACCAGTGTGAAATCACCTACAAGTGTTACATCTCCCACCAGTGTAACATCGCCAACAAGTGTTACATCCCCTACGTCTTTTACAAGTGAAACATCGCCTACTAGTGTTACTTCACCCACCAGTGTAACATCACAGACAAGTGTTACCTCAACCACCAGTGTTACATCACCTACGTCACCAACTAGTGTGACATCGCCTACCAGTAGAACATCCCCTACGTCTGTTACAAGTGGAACATCGCCTACTAGTGTTACTTCACCCACGAGTGTGACATCACCTACCAGTGTGACCTCTCCTACCAGCGTGACATCACCTACCAGTGTTACATCTCCCACCAGTTTAACATCGCCAACAAGTATTACGTCCCCCACAAGCATTACGTCACCTACCAGTGTGACATCACCTACCAGTGCTACTTCGCCTACCAGCGTTACATCTCTCACGTCTGTTACAAGTGGAACATCACCTACCAGTGTTACTTCACCTACCAGTGATACATCTCCCACCAGTTTAACATCGCCATCAAGTGTTACGTCACCTACCAGTGTTACTTCGCCTACCAGCGTTACATCTCTCACGTCTGTTACAAGTGTGACATCCCCTACCAGCGTTACTTCACCTACTAGTGTTACATCTCCCACCAGTTTAACATCGCCAACAAGTGTTACATCCCCCACAAGTATTACGTCACCTACCAGTGTTACTTCGCCTACCAGTGTGACCTCTCCTACCAGCGTGACATCACCTACCAGTGTTACATCTCCCACCAGTTTAACATCGCCAAAAAGTGTTACGTCCCCCACAAGTATTACGTCACCTACCAGTGTGACATCACCTACCAGCGTTACATCTCTCACGTCTGTTACAAGTGGAACATCACCTACCAGTGTCACTTCCCCCACCAGTGTAACATCGCCAACAAGTGTTACATCCCCTACCTCTGTTACAAGCGGGGCATCACCCACCAGTGTAACATCACAGACAAGTGTTACCTCAGCCACCAGTGTTACATCACCTACGTCACCCACTAGTGTGACATCGCCTACCAGTGGTACATCTCCTACGTCTGTTACAAGTGGAACATCGCCTACTAGTGTTACTTCACCCACCAGTGTAACATCACAGACAAGTGTTACCTCAGCCACCAGTGTTACATCACCTACGTCACCCACTAGTGTGACATCGCCTACCAGTAGAACATCCCCTACGTCTGTTACAAGTGGAACATCGCCTACTAGTGTTACTTCACCCACGAGTGTGACATCACCTACCAGTGTGACCTCTCCTACCAGCGTGACATCACCTACCAGTGTTACATCTCCCACCAGTTTAACATCGCCAACAAGTATTACGTCCCCCACAAGCATTACGTCACCTACCAGTGTGACATCACCTACCAGTGCTACTTCGCCTACCAGCGTTACATCTCTCACGTCTGTTACAAGTGGAACATCACCTACCAGTGTTACTTCACCTACCAGTGATACATCTCCCACCAGTTTAACATCGCCATCAAGTGTTACGTCACCTACCAGTGTTACTTCGCCTACCAGCGTTACATCTCTCACGTCTGTTACAAGTGTGACATCCCCTACCAGCGTTACTTCACCTACTAGTGTTACATCTCCCACCAGTTTAACATCGCCAACAAGTGTTACATCCCCCACAAGTATTACGTCACCTACCAGTGTTACTTCGCCTACCAGTGTGACCTCTCCTACCAGCGTGACATCACCTACCAGTGTTACATCTCCCACCAGTTTAACATCGCCAAAAAGTGTTACGTCCCCCACAAGTATTACGTCACCTACCAGTGTGACATCACCTACCAGCGTTACATCTCTCACGTCTGTTACAAGTGGAACATCACCTACCAGTGTCACTTCCCCCACCAGTGTAACATCGCCAACAAGTGTTACATCCCCTACCTCTGTTACAAGCGGAACATCACCTACTAGTGTTACTTCACCCACAAGTGTAACATCGCAGACAAGTGTTACCTCACCCACGTCACCCACTAGTGTGACATCGCCTACCAGTGGTACATCTCCTACGTCTGTTACAAGTGGAACATCGCCTACTAGTGTTACTTCACCCACCAGTGTAACATCACAGACAAGTGTTACCTCAGCCACCAGTGTTACATCACCTACGTCACCCACTAGTGTGACATCGCCTACCAGTAGAACATCCCCTACGTCTGTTACAAGTGGAACCTCGCCTACTAGTGTTACTTCACCCACGAGTGTGACATCACCTACCAGTGTGACCTCTCCTACCAGCGGGACATCACCTACCAGTGTGACATCACCTACCAGTGTTACTTCGCCTACCAGCGTTACATCTCTCACGTCTGTTACCAGTGGTACATCCCCTACCTCTGTTACAAGTGGAACTTCGCCTACTAGTGTTACTTCACCCACGAGTGTGACATCACCTACCAGTGTGACCTCTCCTACCAGCGTGACATCACCAACCAGTGTTACATCTCCCTCCAGTGTAACATCGCCAACAAGTGTTACGTCCCCTACGTCTGTTACAAGTGAAACATCACCTACCAGTATAACATCACCCACCAGTGTGACGTCACCTACCAGTGTGACGTCACCTACCAGTGTGACATCACCTACCAGTGTGACATCACCTACCAGTGTCACCTCACCTACAAGTGTTACATCTCCCACCAGTGTAACATCGCCAACAAGTGTTACATCCCCTACATCTTTCACAAGTGAAACATCACCTACTAGTGTTATTTCACCCATCAGTGTGACATCACCTACCAGTAAAACATCACCAACAAGTGTTACATCACCTACGAGTGTGACATCACCTACCAGTGTGACATCACCTGCCAGTGTTACTTCACCTACCAGTGTTACATCTCCCACCAGTTTAACATCGCCAAAAAGTGTTACGTCCCCCACAAGCATTACGTCACCTACCAGTCTGACATCACCTACCAGTGTTACTTCGCCTACCAGCGTTACATCTCTCACGTCTGTTACAAGTGGAACATCGCCTACCAGTTCCACTTCCCCCACTAGTGTAACTTCGCCAACAAGTGTTACATCCCCTACCTCTGTTACAAGCGGAACATCACCTACTAGTGTTACTTCACCGACCAGTGTAACATCGCAAACAAGTGTTACCTCTCCCACCAGTGTTACATCACCTACGTCACCCACTAGTGCGACATCGCCTACAAGTGGTACATCCCCTACGTCTGTTACAAGTGTAACATCGCCAACAAGTGTTACGTCCCCAACAAGTATTACGTCACCTACCAGTATTACGTCACCTACCAGTGTGACGTCACCTACCAGTGTGACATCACCTACAAGTGTTACATCTCCCACCAGTGTAACATCGCCAACAAGTGTTACATCCCCTACGTCTTTTACAAGTGAAACATCACAGACAAGTGTTACAAGTGAAACATCGCCTACTAGTATTACGTCACCCACCAGTGTGACGTCACCTACCAGTGTGACATCCCCTACCAGTGTGACATCACCTACAAGTGTTACATCTCCCACCAGTGTAACATCGCCAACAAGTGTTACGTCCCCAACAAGTATTACGTCACCTACCAGTGTGACGTCACCTACCAGTGTTACTTCGCCTACCAGCGTTACATCTCTCACGTCTGTTACAAGTGGAACATCGCCTACCAGTTCCACTTCCCCCACCAGTGTAACATCGCCAACAAGTGTTACATCCCCTACCTCTGTTACAAGCGGAACATCACCGACTAGTGTTACTTCACCGACCAGTGTAACATCGCAAACAAGTGTTACCTCTCCCACCAGTGTTACATCACCTACGTCACCCACTAGTGCGACATCGCCTACAAGTGGTACATCCCCTACGTCTGTTACAAGTGGAACATCGCCTACTAGTGTTACTTCACCCACGAGTGTGACATCACCTACATCACCTACCAGTGTGACCTCTCCTACCAGCGTGACATCACCTACCAGTGTTAAATCTCCCACCAGTGTAACATCGCCAACAAGTGTTACGTCCCCGACATCTGTTACAAGTGAAACATCGCTTACTAGTGTTACGTCACCCACCAGTGTGACGTCACCTACCAGTGTGACATCCCCTACCAGTGTGACATCACCTACAAGTGTTACATCTCCCACCAGTGTAACATCGCCAACAAGTGTTACGTCCCCAACAAGTATTACGTCACCTACCAGTGTGACATCACCTACCAGTGTGACATCACCTTCAAGTGTTACATCTCCCACCAGTGTAACATCGCCAACAAGTGTTACATCCCCTACGTCTTTTACAAGTGAAACATCACCTACTAGTGTTACTTCACCCACTAGTGTAACATCACAGACAAGTGTTACCTCAGCCACCAGTGTTACATCACCTACGTCACCCACTAGTGTGACATCACCTACCAGTGTGACCTCTCCCACAAGCGTGACATCACCTACCAGTGTTACATCTCCCACCAGTTTAACATCGCCAACAAGTGTTACATCCGCCACAAGTATTACGTCACCTACCAGTGTGACGTCACCTACCAGTGTGACATCACCTACCAGTGTGACATCACCTTCAAGTGTTACATCTCCCACCAGTGTAACATCGCCAACAAGTGTTACATCCCCTACGTCTTTTACAAGTGAAACATCACCTACTAGTGTTACTTCACCCACTAGTGTAACATCACAGACAAGTGTTACCTCAGCCACCAGTGTTACATCACCTACGTCACCCACTAGTGTGACATCACCTACCAGTGTGACCTCTCCCACAAGCGTGACATCACCTACCAGTGTTACATCTCCCACCAGTTTAACATCGCCAACAAGTGTTACATCCGCCACAAGTATTACGTCACCTACCAGTGTGACATCACCTACTTCGCCTACCAGCGTTACATCTCTCATGTCTGTTACAAGTGGAACATCACCTACCAGTTTCACTTCCCCCACTAGTGTAACATCGCCAACAAGTGTCACATCCCCTATCTCTGTTACAAGCGGGACATCACCTACTAGTGTTACTTCACCCACCAGTGTAACATCACAGACAAGTGTTACCTCAGCCACCAGTGTTACATCACCTACGTCACCCACTAGTGTGACATCGCCAAAAAGTGTTACGTCACCTACCAGTGTTACTTCGCCTACCAGCGTTACATCTCTCACGTCTGTTACAAGTGGAACATCGCCTACCAGTTCCACTTCCCCCACCAGTGTAACATCGCCAACAAGTGTTACATCCCCTACCTCTGTTACAAGCGGAACATCACCTACTAGTGTTACTTCACCGACCAGTGTAACATCGCAAACAAGTGTTACCTCGCCCACCAGTGTTACATCACCTACGTCACCCACTAGTGCGACATCGCCAACAAGTGGTACATCCCCTACGTCTGTTACAAGTGGAACATCGCCTTCTAGTGTTACTTCACCCACGAGTGTGACATCACCTACATCACCTACCAGTGTGACCTCTCCTACCAGCGTGACATCACCTACCAGTGTTACATCTCCCACCAGTGTAACATCCCCAACAAGTGTTACGTCCCCGACATCTGTTACAAGTGAAACATCGCCTACTAGTGTTACGTCACCTACCAGTGTGACATCACCTACAAGTGTTACATCTCCTACCAGTGTAACATCGCCAACAAGTGTTACATCCCCTACGTCTTTTACAAGTGAAACATCGCCTACTAGTGTTACTTCACCCACCAGTGTGACATCACCTACCAGTATTACATCACCAACAAGTGTTACATCCCGTACGAGTGTGACATCACCTACAAGTGTTACTTCACCTACCAGTGTTACATCTCCCACCAGTTTAACATCGCCAACAAGTGTTACGTCCCCCACAAGTATTACGTCACCTACCAGTGTGACATCACCTACCAGTGTTACTTCGCCTACCAGCGTTACATCTCTCACGTCTGTTACAAGTGGAACATCGCCTACCAGTGTCACTTCCCCCACCAGTGTAACATCGCCAACAAGTGTTACATCACCTACCTCTGTTACAAGCGGAACATCACCTACTAGTGTTACTTCACCCACAAGTGTAACATCGCAGACAAGTGTTACCTCACCCACCAGTGTTACATCACCAACGTCACCCACTAGTGTGACATCGGCTACCAGTGGTACATCCCCTACGTCTGTTACAAGTGGAACATCGCCTACTAGTGTTACTTCACCCACGAGTATGACATCACCTACCAGTGTGACCTCTCCTACCAGCGTGACATCACCTACCAGTGTTACATCTCCCACCAGTTTAACATCGCCAACAAGTGTTACGTCACCTACCAGTGTGACATCACCTACCAGTGTTACTTCGCCTACCAGCGTTACATCTCTCACGTCTGTTACAAGTGGAACATCGCCTACCAGTTCCACTTCCCCCACCAGTGTAACATCGCCAACAAGTGTTACATCCCCTACCTCTGTTACAAGCGGAACATCACCTACTAGTGTTACTTCACCGACCAGTGTAACATCGCAAACAAGTGTTACCTCGCCCACCAGCGTTACATCACCTACGTCACCCACTAGTGCGACATCGCCTACAAGTGGTACATCCCCTACGTCTGTTACAAGTGGAACATCGCCTACTAGTGTTACTTCACCCACGAGTGTGACATCACCTACATCACCTACCAGTGTGACCTCTCCTACCAGCGTGACATCACCTACCAGTGTTACATCTCCCACCAGTGTAACATCGCCAACAAGTGTTACGTCCCCGACATCTGTTACAAGTGAAACATCGCCTACTAGTGTTACGTCACCCACCAGTGTGACGTCACCTACCAGTGTGACATCCCCTACCAGTGTGACATCACCTACAAGTGTTACATCTCCCACCAGTGTAACATCGCCAACAAGTGTTACGTCCCCAACAAGTATTACGTCACCTACCAGTGTGACGTCACCTACCAGTGTGACATCACCTACAAGTGTTACATCTCCCACCAGTGTAACATCGCCAACAAGTGTTACATCCCCTACGTCTTTAACAAGTGTTACTTCACCCACGAGTGTGACATCACCTACATCACCTACCAGTGTGACCTCTCCTACCAGCGTGACATCACCTACCAGTGTTACATCTCCCACCAGTGTTACATCGCCAACAAGTGTTACGTCCCCAACATCTGTTACAAGTGAAACATCGCCTACTAGTGTTACGTCACCCACCAGTGTGACGTCACCTACCAGTGTGACATCCCCTACCAGTGTGACATCACCTACAAGTGTTACATCTCCCACCAGTGTTACATCGCCAACAAGTGTTACGTCCCCAACAAGTATTACGTCACCTACCAGTGTGACGTCACCTACCAGTGTGACATCACCTACAAGTGTTACATCTCCCACCAGTGTAACATCGCCAACAAGTGTTACATCCCCTACGTCTTTTACAAGTGAAACATCACCTACTAGTGTTACCTCACCCACCAGTGTAACATCACTGACAAGTGTTACAAGTGAAACATCGCCTACTAGTGTTACGTCACCCACCAGTGTGACGTCACCTACCAGTGTGACATCCCCTACCAGTGTGACATCACCTACAAGTGTTACATCTCCCACCAGTGTAACATCGCCAACAAGTGTTACGTCCCCAACAAGTATTACGTCACCTACCAGTGTGACATCACCTACCAGTGTGACATCACCTACAAGTGTTACATCTCCCACCAGTGTAACATCGCCAACAAGTGTTACATCCCCTACGTCTTTTACAAGTGAAACATCACCTACTAGTGTTACTTCACCCACCAGTGTAACATCACAGACATCGCCTACCAGTGGTACATCTCCTACGTCTATTACAAGTGGAACATCGCCTACTAGTGTTACTTCACCAACGAGTGTGACATCACCTACCAGTGTGACCTCTCCCACAAGCGTGACATCACCTACCAGTGTTACATCTCCTACCAGTTTAACATCACCAACAAGTGTTACATCCGCCACAAGTATAACGTCACCTACCAGTGTGACATCACCTACTTCGCCTACCAGCGTTACATCTCTCACGTCTGTTACAAGTGGAACATCACCTACCAGTTTCACTTCCCCCACTAGTGTAACATCGCCAACAAGTGTCACATCCCCTACCTCTGTTACAAGCGGGACATCACCTACTAGTGTTACTTCACCCACCAGTGTAACATCACAGACAAGTGTTACCTCAGCCACCAGTGTTACATCACCTACGTCACCCACGAGTGTGACATCACCTACCAGTGTGACCTCTCCCACAAGCCTGACATCACCTACCAGTGTTACATCTCCCACCAGTTTAACATCGCCAACAAGTGTTACATCCGCCACAAGTATTACGTCACCTACCAGTGTGACATCACCTACTTCGCCTACCAGCGTTACATCTCTCACGTCTGTTACAAGTGGAACATCACCTACCAGTGTCACTTCCCCCACTAGTGTAACATCGCCAACAAGTGTCACATCCCCTACCTCTGTTACAAGCGGGACATCACCTACTAGTGTTACTTCACCCACCAGTGTAACATCACAGACAAGTGTTACCTCAGCCACCAGTGTTACATCACCTACGTCACCCACGAGTGTGACATCACCTACCAGTGTGACCTCTCCCACAAGCCTGACATCACCTACCAGTGTTACATCTCCCACCAGTTTAACATCGCCAACAAGTGTTACATCCCCCACAAGTATTACGTCACCTACCAGTGTGACATCACCTACTTCGCCTACCAGCGTTACATCTCTCACGTCTGTTACAAGTGGAACATCACCTACCAGTGTCACTTCCCCCACTAGTGTAACATCGCCAACAAGTGTCACATCCCCTACCTCTGTTGCAAGCGGGACATCACCTACTAGTGTTACTTCACCCACCAGTGTAACATCACAGACAAGTGTTACCTCAGCCACCAGTGTTACATCACCTACGTCACCCACTAGTGTGACATCGCCTACCAGTGGTACATCTCCTACGTCTATTACAAGTGGAACATCGCCTACTAGTGTTACTTCACCCACGAGTGTGACATCACCTACCAGTGTGACCTCTCCCACAAGCGTGACATCACCTACCAGTGTTACATCTCCTACCAGTTTAACATCACCAACAAGTGTTACATCCGCCACAAGTATTACGTCACCTACCAGTGTGACATCACCTACTTCGCCTACCAGCGTTACATCTCTCACGTCTGTTACAAGTGGAACATCACCTACCAGTGTCACTTCCCCCACCAGTGTGACATCACCTACTTCGCCTACCAGCGTTACATCTCTCACGTCTGTTACAAGTGGAACATCACCTACCAGTGTCACTTCCCCCACTAGTGTAACATCGCCAACAAGTGTCACATCCCCTACCTCTGTTACAAGCGGGACATCACCTACTAGTGTTACTTCACCCACCAGTGTAACATCACAGACAAGTGTCACCTCAGCCACCAGTGTTACATCACCTACGTCACCCACGAGTGTGACATCACCTACCAGTGTGACCTCTCCCACAAGCCTGACATCACCTACCAGTGTTACATCTCCCACAAGTTTAACATCGCCAACAAGTGTTACATCCGCCACAAGTATTACGTCACCTACCAGTGTGACATCACCTACTTCGCCTACCAGCGTTACATCTCTCACGTCTGTTACAAGTGGAACATCACCTACCAGTGTCACTTCCCCCACTAGTGTAACATCGCCAACAAGTGTCACATCCCCTACCTCTGTTACAAGCGGGACATCACCTACTAGTGTTACTTCACCCACCAGTGTAACATCACAGACAAGTGTTACCTCAGCCACCAGTGTTACATCACCTACGTCACCCACGAGTGTGACATCACCTACCAGTGTGACCTCTCCCACAAGCCTGACATCACCTACCAGTGTTACATCTCCCACCAGTTTAACATCGCCAACAAGTGTTACATCCCCCACAAGTATTACGTCACCTACCAGTGTGACATCACCTACTTCGCCTACCAGCGTTACATCTCTCACGTCTGTTACAAGTGGAACATCACCTACCAGTGTCACTTCCCCCACTAGTGTAACATCGCCAACAAGTGTCACATCCCCTACCTCTGTTACAAGCGGGACATCACCTACTAGTGTTACTTCACCCACCAGTGTAACATCACAGACAAGTGTTACCTCAGCCACCAGTGTTACATCACCTACGTCACCCACTAGTGTGACATCGCCTACCAGTGGTACATCTCCTACGTCTATTACAAGTGGAACATCGCCTACTAGTGTTACTTCACCCACGAGTGTGACATCACCTACCAGTGTGACCTCTCCCACAAGCGTGACATCACCTACCAGTGTTACATCTCCTACCAGTTTAACATCACCAACAAGTGTGAGATCCGCCACAAGTATTACGTCACCTACCAGTGTGACATCACCTACTTCGCCTACCAGCGTTACATCTCTCACGTCTGTTACAAGTGGAACATCACCTACCAGTGTCACTTCCCCCACCAGTGTGACATCACCTACTTCGCCTACCAGCGTTACATCTCTCACGTCTGTTACAAGTGGAACATCACCTACCAGTGTCACTTCCCCCACTAGTGTAACATCGCCAACAAGTGTCACATCCCCTACCTCTGTTACAAGCGGGACATCACCTACTAGTGTTACTTCACCCACCAGTGTAACATCACAGACAAGTGTCACCTCAGCCACCAGTGTTACATCACCTACGTCACCCACGAGTGTGACATCACCTACCAGTGTGACCTCTCCCACAAGCCTGACATCACCTACCAGTGTTACATCTCCCACAAGTTTAACATCGCCAACAAGTGTTACATCCGCCACAAGTATTACGTCACCGACCAGTGTGACATCACCTACTTCGCCTACCAGCGTTACATCTCTCACGTCTGTTACAAGTGGAACATCACCTACCAGTGTCACTTCCCCCACTAGTGTAACATCGCCAACAAGTGTCACATCCCCTACCTCTGTTACAAGCGGGACATCACCTACTAGTGTTACTTCACCCACCAGTGTAACATCACAGACAAGTGTTACCTCACCCACCAGTGTTACATCACCTACGTCACCCACTAGTGTGACATCGCCTACCAGTGGTACATCTCCTACGTCTGTTACAAGTGGAACATCGCCTACTAGTGTTACTTCACCCACGAGTGTGACATCACCTACCAGTGTGACCTCTCCTACCAGCGTTACATCTCCCACCAGTGTAACATCGCCAACAAGTGTTACATCCCCTACTAGTATGACATCACCTACCAGTTTTACATCACCTACCAGTGTGATATCACCAACAAGTATGACATCACCAACCAGTATGACAAGCCCTACCTCGGCAATAGGAAAATGTGGTACTGCGTGTTCTGACGACTGTACTTCAGCAGGAGTCGGTATCGTTACTATTACTAGGTGTTCCGATTGTTGTCTGTTGACGTGTAATGCTAATTCAATAATCTCAGTATTGTGCTTTACTAGTATGACGTCGCCTACTAGTATAACATCTGTAACATCCCCAACAAGTGTAACCTCTGTTACATCTCCCACCAGTGTAACCTCGCCTACTAGTGTCACATCACCTACCAGTGTTACGTCACCTACCAGTGTGACATCACCCACCAGTGTGACATCACCAACAAGTATGACATCACCAACCAGTATGACAAGCCCAACCTCGCCAATTGGAAAATGTGGTACTGCGTGTTCTGACGACTGTACTTCAGCAGGAGTCGGTATCGTTACTATTACTAGGTGTTCCGATTGTTGTCTGTTGACGTGTAATGCTAATTCAATAATCTCAGTATTGTGCTTTACTAGTATGACGTCGCCTACTAGTATAACATCTGTAACATCCCCAACAAGTGTAATCTCTGTTACATCTCCCACCAGTATAACCTCGCCTACTAGTGTGACATCACCTACCAGTGTTACGTCACCTACCAGTGTGACATCACCCACCAGTGTGACATCACCAACAAGTATGACATCACCAACCAGTATGACAAGCCCAACCTCGCCAATTGGAAAATGTGGTACTGCGTGTTCTGACGACTGTACTTCAGCAGGAGTCGGTATCGTTACTATTACTAGGTGTTCCGATTGTTGTCTGTTGACGTGTAATGCTAATTCAATAATCTCAGTATTGTGCTTTACTAGTATGACGTCGCCTACTAGTATAACATCTGTAACATCCCCAACAAGTGTAACCTCTGTTACATCTCCCACCAGTGTAACCTCGCCTACTAGTGTCACATCACCTACCAGTGTTACGTCACCTACCAGTGTGACATCACCCACCAGTGTGACATCACCAACAAGTATGACATCACCAACCAGTATGACAAGCCCGACTTCGCCAATAGGAAAATGTGGTACTGCGTGTTCTGACGACTGTACTTCAGCAGGATTCGGTATCGTTACTATTACTAGGTGTTCCGATTGTTGTCTGTTGACGTGTAATGCTAATTCAATAATCTCAGTATTGTGCATTACTAGTATGACGTCGCCTACTAGCATAACATCTGTAACATCCCCAACAAGTGTAACCTCTGTTACATCTCCCACCAGTGTAACCTCGCCTACTAGTGTCACATCACCTACCAGTGTTACGTCACCTACCAGTGTGACATCACCCACCAGTGTGACATCACCAACAAGTATGACATCACCAACCAGTATGACAAGCCCGACCTCGCCAATAGGAAAATGTGGTACTGCGTGTTCTGACGACTGTACTTCAGCAGGAGTCGGTATCGTTACTATTACTAGGTGTTCCGATTGTTGTCTGTTGACGTGTAATGCTAATTCAATAATCTCAGTATTGTGCACTTAGTCCGACTGCCAACCTACATTTTAGGGTGAAAATAATATAGTCCACCTAATGTTTTTTGGTGGATTATATATCTTCAATATGTCTCGATGTAGATTCCGGATGATGCCACCCTGGCACCCTTGGGGATAATCAAGATAATCCACATGAGCCATTTTCTGGTTATTTACTTGACAAGGGTAAAATTCAAGACAGATTCTCTCGGACCTCGGTATGAATATGGTGTCTCTAAGAATTTAAGCCACTGAATTAAATATGAGCTTGGGCATTCCTCCTGAAAGTGATGGCTAATTCTGGTAGCGGACCAAATTGGAAATGAGGACTCACTTTGGAGGGAAACGCATAAAGATCTCCAAAAAGGTGTGCAATGTATTGAAATATAGGTTTTCGCTGGCAATTACTTCAGATGTAAACATAAAAAAATGTTCCGGCCAAAGGATATTCCAACCCGAGAATATCCTTCCCTTTGTATTCTTATACGGTCACAAATTATACAGTCAACTATCGGACCATCTAAAAGCTAACTGGTGCTTTAGGGGTCTTTAGCAGTGGGAAGAAACCGGGTAATCGAAACCACGCCAGTTGATACAACTAACCATTCGGCACCCCTCCATTTTGAATTTGGCATCCTAGCGGAATTAGTCGTCACTTTGAGGACGAATACCCAAGCTCATTCGATTCAACGGTCGAATTCTTATAGAAACCATCTTCAAACTGAGGTCCGAGAGAATGTGTCACGTGTTTTACCCTACTAAATAACCAGAAAATGCCTCATGGCGGCCATCTTGAATATTTAAATTTCCCCAGGGGTGCCATGGTGGCATTTTCCGGATTATGAATCTACACATACTGAAGATAATCCATCAAAAAACATTAGGTGGACTATATTTCCAGATTTGTCGACCTGCTGCCGGACTATTATATGTACTAGGCAGTGTAGCTACTGAGTCATTGCATAATGCTATACTGTATAGCATATTGACATAGGTCTCATTTTGGTTTAATTGAATGAGTAAGAGACTCCGGCAAACCGGCCCATTTCCCCGAAAACACCGACCCCCTCGGCAAAAAAATCGGCCAGTTGTGCGCCACTGATAATCACGATTCTCATCACCGTTATGCAGATTATGAACGGTTCATAATTTTGAGTTTGAACTCCATGCCAAAAAAAGAAAAATAATCTTCATACTCAAAAAAAGAATTATTGTGATTTTCTTGTATCAAAACATTTTATTTTGTAACTGGCCATTTTTATACGCCCACATTTTCATGTGGACGTATATTGTCGTCGCCCCTGTCCGTCCGGACGTCCGTCCGTCCACAATTGTTTCTGGACACTCTACAGGTCACAATTCTTATCTGATTTTAACGAAACTTGAAATATAGGTTTATCTACAAAAGATCTCGGTTGCTTTCGATATTGGCATGTATCGGACCGAAACTTCATGGATTATGGCCCCTGATTGAACGAAAAATCATGTTTTTAGCTAGTGGACCCTATAGAGGTCACAATTTTTATCCGATTTTGTTGAAACTTGAAATGTGAGTTTATATCCCAACGATCTCAGTTCCTTTTGATATTCGCGCATATCGGATCGTAACTTCCTGAATTATGGCCCCTGATATTTGTGCATTTCAGACCATAACTTTCTGGATTATTGCCCCTGATTGTACAAACAGTCTTTTTTGTTTTTAGCTTGTTCTCTATCCATCTCTTGCAAAATGTGGTCGTATCCTGCCTGGCAGCCGCTGTTTTAATGAAGCAGTCATTCTTATTTTCCATATATTTCGTTTTCAATTTACCTTTCCAATTTTAATTTTTTTGACCCGAAAGGCGGTGTGATTGTCAAATGTACGTCCAGTGTAAGGGTGATTTTTGAGCCGGAATCTAGGTGTATCCCAAATGACCATCACCAGGCCCCTGAATGGTGGGGGGAGGGGGCAGGAATGGCAAGAAAACCCGAGGTCCCATGTACACGCTTGAGTGCACCTAAAGAACTCTTGATAGAATTCGAAATAACAGTAGTGTAGTTCGGTTCGTGCAGAATAATAGCACACTAAACCCTATTTCGTTTCATATTTAAATTGGAGAATGGGGTAACAGAGGGTAGTCAAACCACCTTTTGTTATCAACCGTCCAAATAATATAATTTTTCTTGCAACTTGTTTGAGGTTAGCATTAAATGACTAGACTATTCATAGTAGGCCCATGACGCCGTCATATCTATGTGACGTAGACTATAAATGTGACACACTAATATATACTCTTCAAAAAAAAGTAGGGGATATTGAAATGCAAACAACTATGTAGGTTGCGATATGATAAATAGTCATGGACATTTGACATGCTTTGAGAGTATGTTCACAGATGAAGAACTTATCGCCCCAACAGAACCACTGAGCTGCACATGCGACACGCAATAGCGCCATACACGTGGGAGAGGTTCATTGTCAAATTTGACACTTCAAGGAAGGGTTGATGAAAACTGCCGCGTGCTGGTTTATCTATCCATGTTTGCTTTCCTATCGGTTCTTGCATAATATTTACTGTTTAGCGTATCTTTGCTTTGGTGTGTTACGTTTAATTTGATCGGGAGACGTGTTCGTCGACGTCAACGTCAACCGACAACACTGCAAGAATTGACCGTGGCTCTGCAAGAGGAGTGGGTCAGATTGCCCCAAATCGTGATTGGACGGTTGATTAGGAGCATGCCACGACGAATTGCTGAATGTATGAGGATTAGTGGAGCAATTACTCATTATTTAGACAAAAATCAGAAACGTCCATTTTCACTTTTGACAGTGTATCTTTTCGCGAGTGAAATGGGGCCGTCAGATAAGCCGCCCATATGAACTGTTTATGTTCATGTGTAGGCAACTGGCATGTTATTAACATACACTGGTTACCTCTAATAAAAACAGCAGGTCATTTCCGCAGTTTTGTATTGTTTCTGAATATCCCCTACTTTTTTTTAAAGAGTATATTACATACATCCCAGAAGAAGGCTAGTTTTTCGAATGACAGACTGGGTAACCTCAGGTAAATTATCGGTGAACAGATGAAATGACAAATCGAGGTTTTCGCCCAGGCATCTTATATCTGGCCGCTATAGGCTACGTGTGCGTACTGAATACTGTTTTATTTGTTACATGATATATATGTATATTACTATCAAATATATGATACGTTTATAATAAAACTACACGTGAATTATATTTATTCGTTGATAATTGAGTAGTCATTTATAGAGAGAGAGAGAGAGAAATGGGGTTTAACGTCCACTCGACACAAACTAGGTCATTTCGGGACTAACATATGGTTTAATTTTATTTCAATAATTCGCTTGCGCGTAGGGGTCTTTAGCAGTTGGAGGAAACCGGAGGACCCGGAGAAAACCCACGAGGTTGGACAGGCGACCCTACTCCTTGTCACGTACAACCGGGGATTCGAAACCAAGCCAGTCGACTCAATGACAGACTTTATGATACAGCGCGCGCACGCTAACCATTCAGCCATCCAACCCCCCTAGTCATTTATATGTAAAGACTAAACTTCCAACATTTTATAAGCCCACATTCTACCCGTGACTGCATGTACATTGTCACGTCTGGCCCAGGGGCGGATCCATACCAGAGGGGGAGGGGGCATTCAAAGCGCGAGATAATGATACAATTAATGCTTTGCGTCAATGAAATTGAATCACTATGTGATCCTATTAATTCATAATAAAAATTGACGTCAAACGGGGTGTTGGGTTTCTCTCTTTAAAAAGTTCAGTGTGTATGTATGCCTACATAATTTGAAGAGGATGATGGCATTATGCATTGTCAACTGTCAAATTTCCTTAACAGGAACCTAGTAAACCCTGTCCTGCAAAACTTCCTGGATCCGCCCCTGTGGCCGTCTGGTCAAAATTTTCATAAACCCACCCAGTGGTGGACAAAGGACAGAACAGAGTTGGCACATCTCTGCTATGTTTTATTTATTATCCGTGACATAAATTCATAAATACACCCACCTCACCGTATCTCGAGGACTCAGTTTATCAGCATGTGACTTCTAGATGTCTACGGTTTGATAATCAGTTTCTTCTGGATACTCTAACATAAAAAACTGAAAACTTTTGGGGCTCATAGAGCAGGAGCCCAGGGAGTCAACCTAGCTGAAAATTGTACCAATTTTCGCATATATGGTATCAAAGCATGCATATCTGGTATCATCAAAATGTAAGTCTGCCGGGTATCTGGTGGTGGGTGTGGCTGTGAGGGCTTCGATACTGGGTATGGATTCTTGAGCTAGATTAGCTCAAAAGTGTACCACATGAAAATGGTCCGCCAGTGTACCGTACATCTTCAAGTATTACAAAAACACTCTGACAGACATTTCTAGTGGTGGGGTACCCCCGACAGAGTTATGTAATTGCCAGACCACAGCTACGCTAGATTAGCTGAAATCTGTACCACTTAAAACTGCTTGGAAGTTGTTCAGCACCACCACAGGAATCAAGAATGATCACTGCCAGAAAATTTATGCGGTGGGTTACCCCGACAGACACGACGAAAATACCCCCCCCCCCAACTAGACTAGATTAGCTGAAGTCCGCACCACCTAAAAGTGCTAGGAAGTTGTTCAGCCCCACCACAGGGATCTTGAATTACCACTGTCAGACAGATATTGCGGTGGGGTACCCCTGAAAGAGAGGCCCACAATGCCTCGCCCCGCAACTAGGCTAGATTAGCTAAAATATGTACCACTTATAACTGCTTTGGTGTTGTTCAGCACCAGCAATCATGAATGATCACTGCCAAACAGATTGTATGGTGGGTTACTCCTAACAGACACGCCCAAAATGACA